GCGCACAGAAAGCAGCTCCTCATCGCACTCGGAGTCGGAGGTCACTTTACCAAGCTTCCAGTCTTCCCCGTTAACATCATCTGCCAGGAGCAGGCAGATGGACAGTCACCTCGCCGCTCCCTCTGGGGCACAGTCAGCACATGGTCCTGCCACATCTGTGCAGAGTATCCAAACTCAGACCATGGAGTGGTCCCCGGAGCCTTGCGATGTGTGCGAGAGAGCCCAGGCCAGCCTCCGTGAAGTGGGCAGGGGCATCATTAACATCTGCAACAGCCAGAACCTTCCTTCCTCTCTGAGCAGATTCCTGGAGCTGGCAGGGGACGCCCCGGACACCAAGCCCCTCAGGGCCATGGACGTGAGCTACTGGGCTACCGAGCAAAGCAAAGACCTCTCCAGGATTAACAAGCATCTCCGAACGCTGGTGGAACTCATCAATCCCTTGAAGGGGGCGCTGGAGGAGTCCGAGAAGCAGAGAGAGGAGCTGAGGGACCAGCTGGAGACCTTGGAGGGCCGCCTTCAGAAGGAGAAAGAAGCCCAGGAGCAGGAAAGGAAGGAGGCAGAGCGGCTGTTCGAAAGAAAGCACGCCGAGAGCCTGCAGCAGGCGGCCTCGCTGGAGAAAGAGAAAAAGGAGCTTCAAAACAGTGAATATCTTTCCCTTAACCAGACTTTTCCAAAGGGTTCATCAACATTTAGAAATCTGGTTTTGAACCACAATTCCCAAACACTGTCTGGCGAGAAGGGTTATGGGAGTTGTGGTTCCCCAAGCCAAGCCTTGCTCTGGCCCAGGGCAGAAGAGATGGGCCTGCATTTTCTAGTGTGGCTTGGAGTACAGAGGGGCTACCTTCGCAGATAGTAGAGGCCAGCTGTCCTTGNTCCCTTCGTCCTTTTATCAGTGGCTGGGCGGGATGAGGAGCCCATAGACACCCCGAGGGTCACAGGGTCCCCCCCCCCAGGTCTGCTCCTCCTCGCGGGTACTAGCAGCCACTGTAATAAACACTGAACGGGACTTGTTGGATCTCTTCCAGGAGTTGACTCCTTAGAGGGAAACCTCTCCCGCTTGAAAGAGACGCTCCGGGCACAGGAAGGCACCATCCAAGCGCTGGGTAATAGTCATCATGAGATGCTTCCTTCACAGGCACAGTCTTTGCTGTTCGCGATCACTGTCAGTGCGCAAGTCAGGCTGGTCATTTGATGTCCCCTGTCGGAGGTGGTGGAGGACTAAGGCTGAATCTTTGCGGGTGACATAGACCACCCCTGGCTTAATTCCTGGTGTTTACATTTGGGTTGCAGGTGATGTGGAAGCAGGCACCTCCAGGTCAGCATAGGGGGGCCCCAGAGCTGCATCCTCTGGCAATTCCTCTGTAGCAGAGATACGGTAGCATCCCCGTATCCATGGAGGATTGGTTCCAAGCACCAAGGCACTTTAGGGTATAACTGTGTTGGACACCGATCGCCACTTCTTCCCCCTTGGCCTCTGAAGGGTTAAAAGAGGGGGACCAGCGGAGCCTTCTTGAATGTGGCACGTGGCTTCCCCCTTCCGCTGCGTCTGGCGTGGCCCCCTTGAACCGAACTGTTGTGCGTTCCACAGAGGAGGCCAAGAAGGGTCTGCTCCAGGAGATGAAAGCGAAGATGATGGACAGAGACGAAGTGCAGAAACTGGAAGACCGGCTCCAGGCCCAGGCGAGCCAGCTGGAAAGCGCCAGGCAGCAACTGGACCGGGCCAACGTGGCGCTGGAGAAGGAGCGGGCCAAGGCAGACAGCATGCTCCGGCACAAAGAGGTGGGATGGGTGTGTACGTGTGCGTGCGTGTGTGCGCGCCCAGGCGTAGTTGTGTCTTTGCTTCCCCGGAATCAAAACCCTTTGTCCCCCCATCCTTTAGTCAAAACCTCTTGTGATAAACAAGCAGGAGCATTAAAAGGGACATGTGACCGCGCTCCCATCATCCACAGACACGTCAGAGCCCACCAGAGGAGACGGGGGGGGTAGGCATCCATTCCCGGCAGCATACCAAAACTCAAATGGCCCTCCAGATACAGGCAGAGTTGCCTTTAAAGTCCGCTATCTCTGCATGTACTTCTTCTTTCGGCTTGCTTGATCAGCCCGTTAAAAGCTTCAGCCTTTCCCTTTGGTCGCGTCCGAGTCACGGATGGCTCTCCCTCTGTTCCCGAAGTCCCTGCAGGCGAAGCAAAGGGCTCTGATGCAGCAGCTGGACGGTCTGGACCAGGAATGCGAGCAGTTGAAGGCCAGTCTGGCTGACGGGGAAGAGGAGCAGCAGATGATGAGGGAGCGGCTGAAGGAGACCCAGGAGGAGAAGCGGGGGGTCCAGCAACAACTGGAGGTCCAGCAGGTCTGTAGAAATTGGGTATATGTGTGTGTCGGAGAGCATTCCAAGCAGGTGGGGACCAAACTGCCCATTGAAAAGGGGCAAACCAGGGTAAAGCACCCCTTGCCATTGGCCCAGGCCGTATACAAGTCCTTGTCTGTTTCACTGCAGCCTTAGCCCAGTTACATAGAGGCTTGGCGATTGCTATTCCAGAAAAGGTGAACGATTAGAAAGAAGCCGGGAAGGTGATGAGCACTAAGAGAGCATGTGGGGTGTTTAAGCTCCATCTCCCCCACCACCCCCCCCCCTGGGACTTCGGAGCCACCTTTGGGGAGCACTCTCATTCTGATCTGCCACCGTCGTGTCCAGGGGAGCCCTGGAGACTTCCCCCCCCCCCCCCCCCCCCTGGGACTTCGGAGCCACCTTTGGGGAGCATTCTCATTCTGATCTGCCGCCGTCGTATCCAGGGGAGCCCTGGAGACGTAACCCACGATGCTGTCTCAACACAGAAACTTACGGAAAGAGCGCAGCATGAAAAGCAGACGGTGGAGCAGTCGGCCGCTGAGCTGCAAAGGACGATCTCTGAGCTGGGAGAGCTGATCGAGGAGATGAAGGAGAAGCAGAGGCTCTTGGTGTTCTTCCCGGACCTCCACGTCCCTGTCGAGGCTCAGTTTGAAAGTAAGGGACCCGGACACCGAAGGGGCGGAAGGCCAAGGAGGGTCTGCTCTCCTAAGGCTAGTGTGCATGGATCCGGTTTGGGGAGGATGGGAGGGGATAGAGAACTGGGATTTGGATTCAAAACATACGGCTGTGGCCGCCAGGCGCCTGTTGAGGGGAATGGTGTGCCTCCCCACCTTGCTGCTGCTTCTGTAAAATGGGAGCAAGGAGCTCTATCTGACAAAGGTGGTGAGAGAATAAAATGGGACCAGGGAGACTGAATGCAGAGAAAATAAGAGATACCGATGCTGTTTAAAAATGGTTCCAAGTACCTTCATAATGCAATAGTAGGGAGGGATAGATTTCCTAAGGGCTACTCTGGGAAACCCTCACTCCTTGCCAGATCAGTTGCTGAATGCTAGTGGCTACTAGGGTCCCGAATTTCTCCGGCTTGTGCAATTTTTCAAGGTTGTGGCAAAATTTTCTGAAATTCAGGAAAAAAAACACAGGATGATATCAGCATTTACATGACGTTCCTTGCACGTTTTTAAAGCACTGCCCATAAATGCTCACAACCCTGTAAAGAAGGCTTGTTATTAACACACACACCCCTTCTGCAGATGGGGGAATGCCCCATCCTTCTGCCCTGGCCCTGACTCCTGGCTCTCTTGTCCTTCTGCGCAGGCACAGGGGATGTCATGGAAGACATGGGGAAGCAGCTGCAGGCCAACAACATCCGCATCAGCATCTTGGAGGAGGAGAACGCGCGCCTCCGCACGGCCCTGACCAAAATGAAAGAGGTGACCCAGCTGGAAGGGCCGAAGGTAGGTGGGGTCGCCAGTCGGGCTTGGGTGCCCCCCTCGAGCAACAGGCAGGCAGGGACCGAGGTGGCTGTCACATGCCGTCAAGCCAGAACCAACTCAGAGCAAGCCTAGTAGGGCTTTCAATGTAAGCAAGATATTGAAGGAGCCGTTTTACCAGTTCCACACCTCCAGTGAGAGTCCGTGGATTCGAGAAGGGGGCTGTGCTCCATGAAGAGCTTGTGCCAAATCAAACCTGCTAGTCGTAAAAGTGCCACGGGAAACTCTGACCTATGCAGCACAGGGTTTGTCTTTCCCACCCCTCGTGGGATGGCCGCTGTGTGTTAGCAGGATCAGCCGCCCAGGTGCCTTTTGACCTTACGGGTGCTGAGGATGACTCTTCCCCTCCCCAGCTTGTACCTCCGGCCCAGCTGTGGATTCAGCCTCCTGCGAAAGCCACCAGCGAAGACGGCGAGAGGCAACCTCCTGTATGGTGAGTGGGGCAGCCCCATAGCGCCTCTGGTGCACGGGAGCTTTGAGAATCGCCCTTTCCCGGTCACGCCTCCGCCTCGTTCCTTCTGCTTGCAGGTATCCCGGAGGAAGAGGCTCCCAGGGAGCTCCAGCAAGCCATTCTTCCCCCAACCGGGCCAGCTTGGGAAGCGCTGGCCAGAACAGGGCACGGAGTGGCCACGCCCTAGCTAGAGATGGCTCAGCCTCCCGAAGGCCGCCCAGCGAAGGCAAGCGAGCGAAGCCTCCTTCAGGACAAGCTTCTCGGAAAGCAGCGTTCCACTTCTCAGGCGAGGAGGGCTCTGGCCTCGGTGCCTTCGCCAGAGCGCAAGGAAGAGACCAGGTCCTTGGCCACCCAGCCCACGGGGCTTGGAGCCACCAGAAATAAAAGCCCTTGAGAGGAACAGCTTCAGGCGGTTGTAACAAGGGCACTGCTGGGGATTCTGCATTGAGGGCCGGACCAGGGCTTGGGAGTAAACTGAAGCCAGCTGGCTGGACCGGGTTCAAGAAGACAGTTTGCTCCCTTTCCCCTTCTGTTGTCTGATGCAGCCTGCACTCTCCTCTACACTCTGCGGAGGTGTGGCATTCTGACAAGGCCTTCGCCCCCGTCTGCTTTCTCCAGGTCCCCACCAGCTCCTTTCTCCCCTCTGGCACCAGGTTGCCCACCTGGGGCTCTTCCAGGCCTGAGTGAAAGCGAGAGTCCGGTGCTCTCCACGGAGAAGGACCTGCATCAAAAAGGAAAGCGGACACTGGCTTCTCTTTGCTTGATTTTATTATTAGTACAGGTGGCTCCATACATCCAAGCAGGGCCTCCGGTGCCATGGCCCTTTCGGGAAGGGGTTTCAGGACACAACGGACAGCCGTCGCTCGGCCCCGGCCACCCTCTTCTCCCCCTCCTCTCTAATAAGTTAGTATAAATAAGCAAGCGTTCCAAACCCCCACCCACCCCTTTCGAGCCTTGGGAGCCCACGCCCAGGATGGCTCTCCACAGCAAGACATTGAAGGAAGCCACCGCCGTGGAGGCAGCCCACCTTCCCTTACAGGGAGAGGAGGGCCGAAGGCTGGCCCACAAAAGCCGAGCCACCTGGAAGGCAAGTCTCTGCCCAGACCCGACTCACACCGTGTGGATGTTCGGGGCAGAACATCCTGACCCCAAAAGCCCTGGATTCCGTCCAGTGTGGAGACATGTAAGCAGACCCAAGAACAGATGAGCACAGTTTTACACAGACACATTTTCTGTCTGGACAGGGATCCAAAGCGCCAGGGACGAAGCTCCCCTCTTGCCTTGAGCAGCCACCGAGGCAAGGAAAGACGCTGGCAAGCCAAGGTCTCCGTCAGGCGCTTTTCCCCTGGTGTGCTGGTGGATCCGTCCACCCAAGAGAGGGACCTGCTGGGCTTGCTAGCTCTCTTGACAGCAGTTGCCTGAGAGAAAACAGAAGAGTGTGTCACTGGAGGGTCAGGGAGCTGGGGATGGCCTGCAAAGGGCTGTGCTCAGAAAGCCACGGCTTGTGGGAATGCCGAACAAGTAGCAACGTGGGAGGAGGAGAGCGGTCGACCGGGGGAGCTCGCGGGAGGGGCCTTCACAAATGGGCAGAGTTTTCTCTCTGCCAAGGTGGAGGACGGGTTTGCTGCGTGTTTCTAGGCTGCAGCGCAAAACGCTTCTGAAAGCAAACGGCGCCTTTCCTTCCTGAGAGCAAGTGGATTTTAAACAGAGATTACGATCAACTTAGGTGCAGAGTGCCATGACGTAGATACGTCCTCCACCCTGGAAACAATCTTCCCTTGTTTAACATAAAATAGGGGAATAGCCAAGGAAATCCCCAGTGATTCCAGCTTTCCATCTTCCTGTGCTTGTAAATGGTTGGACAAGTGAAATTCTGGTCTGACAGCAGGCCAGGCCAGTGATAATAAGGCTAGCCTTATCCTAGAGAAAATCACCTCTGGGTCAAAAATACAAAGGGTCTTTTAAATTGGGGGCTGGACCCCTAACACTAAAGCCAATGTTTGATGAGAGGAACATATGAAACAATAAAGATCGCCTCTGAGCATACACCAAGCGCCTCTCTTTGACTCCGCTCTCCTACACTAACAGGAGTATTGAGGGCCTCACACCCAGGCAAAAGTGAGATGAAAGAGTCCCTGGCCACTGATGCTCCTCAAGGTGAAGCAATGGAAAGCCAAGCGCATCGATTTCTACCGCTTTCTGCAGCCACTTGCTTATGAAGCAAAACCTATTTCTGCAGGGCTGCACAGGGAAAAAAGCAGAGCATGGCTGGGAAGAGCTGGGTGGCCCTCGGGCCTTTAGGACCGACCGTTAAGGGGCTTACCTAAAATGTTGTGTTTGCAGAGAGGGCAGGTCTGCTGCAGGAAAAGCCAGGGATCCACGCAGTCCCGGTGGAACTCGTGCAGGCATGGCAGTACCCGGAGACACTGCAAGGCAGGCAGAGCAGGTTCAGGAGCTGCGAAAAAGGTCTGGACCCCAAGGCAGAGGAAGAGGAGGCCAACAGACTGGCCTCCGTGGGACCCGGCAGCCCACCAAAGAGCAGGAGATCTGACCGTTCCCTCCTCGGGTCCCTTTTCTAAAAGGCAGGGCTTTCAGAGGCCCTTCCCCTCCTTCCCAGGATGGTGGTGGGTAAGAGTCTCATTCAACCTCCCCGTTTGGGCTCCCTTTGGAAAGCAGGGGAAACCAGATGAATGCTCCCTCGGCACGCAGAAGGCCTAAAGGTCAATTCCACAAATTCTCCTCTCGTTAAAAGGACCAGGAGATGCAAAAGCTCTCTCTTGTGTCCGGCAAGCAGGAAACCCTCGGCTCTGCAGACTATAAGCCTCGCTTCCTCCTTGTCCTGCCTTTCATCCCACCCAGCCTCCATGGGCCCCCAAAAGAAGTACCTGAATTCCAAGCAGGTTCTTTATGGGGATGTGATGCCTGCGTTCCTTATAGCAGGCATCAGCATGGAAGAGGCGAAAGAAAGAAAGCCTCTTCCAAGGTGGGAGAGTTCATAAATGTCGACAGTGGTTATTTTTGCTTGCTTTCGCCCCTCTGCTACATGATCAACTGGATGCATCGTTGTGATCAGTAAAAGAAATCTAATTGGGTAACTGATGGAATCCATTAAAACTCACAGCACTTGTATGAAGCACACAAGGGCCCTTGGGGTATGCCCATGCTGCCAAGACAGCCTCCTTGTCTCAAACGGCATTTCACCATTCCCAGGAAACAGTTGACAGACGCAGAGTAGCACACAACGCTTTTCATTTTCCTCCTACCCTTTTCGTGGTGATCCACGCTCCCACGCACAAGCGCCCCGTGACAAGAGTTACCTGATTCTTGTGGAAATGGTCCAAGCAGATGGCACAGCTGTCGATCTCATGAGCCCAGCTCCGAGGGGGCTTGCCGGGGTGATACCGCCGGGTTTTGAGCGCCGACAACTTCTGGGCAATGTGCTGCTTGAGATCCAGCTGCAGGAGGGAAGGCGCCAGGTTAGCTCCCGCTTGCGGCCCAAGGCGGATTTTGTCTTGGCCAGAGAGTTTAGGCAAAAAGGAGGAAGGCAGGGAGCGAACCCACCTCAGAGTCGTCGTCCAGCTGGCTATGCCGAGACTGCCGTTGTGCCTGCATGATCACACCCGTGCACAGGATCAGGGCGATGAGCAGGATGGCATTCCACAGCTGCTGGAGGTACTTCTGCAACAAAAACCTCTGTCAGAAGCGAGATCTCTGACACCGTGTAGACGGGAGGGTCTTCTAAACATCATGAGCAAGGAAGCCGCCTAAGCTAGCAGAAGGGGACTGGCTGTTTGGAAAGGTGGCAGGCCAGCCCTGAATCGGTCTCTGCCAACGTAATCCATGCCACCTTAGGAGGGCCTGCCAGTCAGAGGGAGCAAGCAGCAGGATGAAAATATTCTCATTTTTAAAGGAGGTGGGTGGGTGCCTGGCAAAACCACCAGTCAGAACGAGTGTGTTTCTTTACGCTGGGATTTAGGTGACAGTTCTACTTGTTGGCTGTTGAAAATTATGATCAGGCCACGCACCCCTTTTGAGTCTTTGGTTGAAAATCATGCTATTCTCATTTTTAAAGGAGGTGGGTGGGTGGGTGCCTGGCAAAACCACCAGGCAGAACGAGTGTGTTTCTTTATGCAGGGATTAAGGCGACAGTTCTACTTGTTGGCTGCTGAAAATTACAATCATGGTTGAAAATCATGCCTCCTACCAAAAGGGTGACAAAATGAATCCAAAGAGTTGAAACTGCTTGCAAAGATACTCCAGGTGAGGCCAACATGGGACATGCCCGTATTATAAATTTAAATTTGTTTCTCAATCCTGAACTTCAAAGGAAATCTTTAACAGAAACATACCATTATATCCAGCATGGTTTCAAAGGACTGAGTGTACATTCTTTTTTTTCCTCAGAATGACCATTTCCTTTTTTAATGCCATAATGTTCTTAAATGTACGATAAGCATCCCGTGTATGCTTATAATACATAGTTATAGCCTGGTAGGCCTCCAGCATTTGTATCCACGTTGGCCAACCGAGCTATGGATCGCTGGCTAATGGGGTCTTAAGTAAAAACCCAGCATCTTCACCTACCTGGACTCTGGAGCTTGTTTCCCCCGTGCAGATGACTCCCTGCCACTCTCCATACAAGCCACCCCGAGAGAGGCCACACGTGGACCACAGAGTCAGTGTCACCCCCTTCAAGAGAAAACACAGAGATAGCGTTGCCAAGGAAGGCTTTGGAATAGAAACATGCAAGAGGCCAGGCCTCGTGCGTGACTTTCACAAATACCTAAATACAGGGTGGCTTCAAACCCCTTTTAGGAACCTTCCTGTCCGTTTTAACCAAGTGGAGAACCAGCCGCTTGGCACAAAAAGAATGCCTAGAGAGCAAGGGGGATTCGAATTCCTACCAGGGCCGAGGCAGGGATTGCACCCATTCCCACCTCCCGCAAGTATCACATACCACGTTCTCCAAGAGCACAGCTTGATATGTAATCTTGGCTGTTGCCCGAAGTCCTCTGCCAGGAAAAGAGGAAGGGAGGGAGAGAAAGAGAACAATTTAGCCTTGGCTGTTGCCCGAAGTCCTCTGCCAGGAGAAGAGAGGAAGGGTGGGAGGGAGAGAAAGAGAACAATTTAGCTCCGTCTTCAGGGAAGGAGATGCTCACTTCACCCCTTCAGTTTCCAGAAACACCCTGCTCATCGGAAAGAGGCACCCCCAGAAAAGGGCTGCTCACCCACGGCAGCGCCAAAGCACACAAGGTGATTTAAAAGAATGAAATGCACACGTCTGGACAGATACAGTACCAAACCTTGCTGTCCCCACAGTTGTATTAAAATTGCTCATCTGGACATTCCCAACATGAGTTCGTTCTTTTGTTTTCAAAGAAGATCCTTTCCATCCAATTTGTCATTTCCATATTTTGGAACTGCAACAGGTTTAGAATCGAGCTGAGCGGCTGGTGAGTGGTAAGGCCGTTGGGGGACACATCAGGCTAATACTGTTCAAATTATATTGGCTACCAGTCGCTGCCTGGGCCCAATTCAAAGTGCTTGTTCTGATTTATAAAGCCCTAAACAGCTTGGGCCCTGGATACTTGAAGAACCGACTCCTTCCATAGGAACCTACCCGGCAGTTAAGATCTAGCTAGGGGGCCCTTTTGAAAGAGCCATCCCTCCAGGAGGTAAGAGGGACGGCTTGTAGATAGACAAAGGGCCTTTTCGGCAGGCTGCCCCCAGACTATGGAATGCCCTCCCGACGGAAATTCGTCTGGCGCCGACGTTGATGATGTTTCGGTGCCAGGTCAAAACCTTCCTGTTCCAGAAGGTTTTAAATTGAAATAATATCAACTGTGGGTCCTGATGGCAATTTTTAGAGCTTTGTATTTTTAATTGCATTTAAATTGTTTTTATCTTTTGATTGAATTCAAATTGTTGTGAGCCGCCCAGCATTGTATTTTTAATTGCATTTTAATTGTTTTTATCTTTTGATTGAATTCAAATTGTTGTAAGCCGCCCAGAGACCTTTGGGTAGTGTGGGTGGCATATAAACTAAGCTAAGCTAAGCTAAGCTAAGCTAAACTAAGCTAATGAATGAATGAATGAATGAATGAATGAATGAATGAATGAATGAATGAATGAATGAATGAATGAATATTTTCCCCAACTGCAACAGTTAGGCTCCTGCTCGTCTCCCCATCAACTTAAACATTACTATCTGAGTAAAGTAAAAACTAAGGCCACATGTGCTGCTTATATACTGCCCCAGAGTGGTTCACGTACTATCTGGGCATTTTTCATTATGCAGGCTACACACCGCTTCCCCAGCAAGCTGGGTACTCAAGTTTTACTGACCTCGGAAGGATGGAAAGCTGAGTCAACCTCAGATCCATTGGGATTGAACGCTTACAGCAAGCAGAGTTTTGGCTGCAATACTATAGTTTAACCATTGCAACATGAGGCTAGTAACAGACCTTCCGTTAGGATTTTAAGCAGTAATTTATTTGAGGAATGTTGTTTTTCTTTTTTTAAGTCACAGATTTTTCAATGTTTCTGAGTTGTTTTTAACTTGTTTATATGTATAATGGTTTTTAAAATATGATATTTAACCGGTGAGCCTCATGGCGCAGTGGTTAAACTGCAGTCCTGCAGCCAATACTCTGCTCACAACCTGGGTTCAATCCCAGGCATCTAGCTCAAGGTTGACTCTGCTTTCCATCCTTCCGAGGGCTGTCAATTGAGTAACCAGTGCATACAGTAATTAAAGTGTAAACTGCCCAAAGAGTGCTTTAAGCACTATGGGTTGGTATATAAACAACATGCTTTTTTACACCATGTTTTTAGAACCGTAGTTTTATCTGTTGTAAGCAATCTTAGGTCCCCTTTGGGGAGAAAAGCAGCATATAACTGAAATAAATAGATAATAAATATTAAGAGCCAAGAACTTCTCTGTTGTGGCACCACTTTCACGGAAGGCTCTCCCCAAGAAAGCCTGCCAAAGCCAACCCTAAACCTTTTCCACTGCCCAAGAGATCAGCTTTCTCCAAACTGCTTGTTGCAGCTTTTCCTACTGCTATGATGCTGTTGTTGTTCTGCCCGTCGGTCACTTTCTCTGCTTCTGGTTTTTCCTGATGTTACTGATGTCCCTGATTAGGTTTACGTGGGTTACTAGATGCTTTGGATTCTTTTAAGAAAACCACAGGTAACCTTTTTAAAAGAAATCAAACATGTACATTCCCGAGCTACCAATGGAAACCTCAGCCAGACTCTTTCCAGCCAGACTCACCGCAGCAGCGCTCCGAGGAGCTTGGTAACGTTTTCAGAAGTCTGGACAATAACCACTGGCTTTGAGAGAACTTGGGGGACATCCATCTGCAGCGGAAGGAAAGAAGGAAGGAAAGTAAAGGTTCGTCAGCAGGGTGGCTGGCATGGAGGGCTCCTCTTTCTATGCCCCAAGCCTCCCCAAGAAGAAAACAGAGCAAAACCATCCACGACTACCTCTCGGATTGCATTCTGGTTCAGTGCGAGGATGAGCAGAGCCGAGGCACCAAAGACGAGGGCCCGCTTCATCTGAAGGAGACGTTGGGGGAGGAAAAAACAATTTTTATCAAAGGATCCGGAATTGATACATCAGCTCATTCACAGCACAAACTATGAACCATTCCATAAATATGTCAAGGACTATCTCCCTTGTTCACATTGAGGAGACTGATAGCCAAGTTGCTGCTCGGAAGAAGGAAGGCTTAGCATCCTTGATCACTAAGCACATATCTACGCTACATGAGTATTAAAAAAAATCTGATGCCACTTTGAGTCTCATGACTCCATCCTATGGAATCCTGGGATTTGTAGTTCACTGAGGGACTTGTCCACAAGCAATATATTATATAGTACACCTGCCTCGCCAAAATACCAAAACCAAGGAACCCATCATGTAGCTGCCTGGGCTCATGAGAGTTGAGTGGTATCAAGACTGTTATAAACTGTGCAATGTAGATACTGTACACTCAAATAGTAGGATGAACGCTAAAGGGAAATGGTCTATTGTCCAGCACAACCAGAACCTACAACAAAATATTGCAGCGTGCAGTCATTCCCCCCACTGTCCCAGTCAACGATACCCTAGGGCAATATTTCACTCCATTCCACAATATTCCCCCAATTTTCACTCAGCACTCCGCAGGCACTGAGCACACTCTGCCCTCAACTTTTCTGTGATCCTTGCAGGCTCCTCTTAAGCCTGCTGACACCTCATCATCTTGCATGCAGCTGTTTTGACCGTACAAGCCATGGCGCTCACAGCCACAACACGGAAAAGGGAGAGAAGGAGAGACCTCATGACTTCAAATGAACCAGGATGCTGGCATCGACCAACATGGCGTGGCTTGTGGTAAGAGGAGACGTGAAACTCCTGCTCGTGGAATAGACCACCTTGCAGCAGCCCCTTCACACATGCGGTCCCCGCTTGACCTTGGAGTGACTAAGTCACAAACCTGGCATGTATGAATCCTCAAAGCACTGGGCAGGGTTAGGAGAAATGAAGACGAATCTACCTTATTGACCACCGTTGTAGTGAAGGATTCTTCTCTGCTCCCCCTTGGCACCTCCGCTTGTTCTTCTCCCACGGGGATGACGCCAATCCAGCTGTCATCATCCTCCAATTTGGGGTCAGTATCCCCCACCTGGAAAAGAAGGCTATCGTCTTTATCTAAACCCACCTGAGGCTCTTTCTGACTTCCTTGCCTGGCAGCCTGGATCCCAAATTCTTATGGCCTGCAGGCTGTTATCTTTTAAAATAGTTTTTTTTTATTACTGAACTGCTCTGTGAACAGATCCTGATAGAGAAACGTTGCATAAATATCTAGAGATGTAGTTTAATTGAATGTAAACTGTGTTGCATCCTGGGATAGTCAGGATCTTGGGAGTTTCTCCTGCTGGATAGCTCAGTCGCTGAGGCATCTGGCTGCAGAGCTAGAGATTGGGAGTTTGACCGAGGTAGGACTGGATAATTCATAGGGTCCCTTCCAGCTCTGCAGCTCTAAGACAATGGTGATGATATAATTCATCCTGCCAAGGGCTGGGCATATGGATGACTTTGAGACTGGAACAGGAGGAGAGACCTCTCTCTCTTTCCCTCTCTCTCTCCCTCTCTCTCACACACACACATACAATTTTGGGGAGAGAACGCGGCCCAGTCAATATGCCGCTGCTTTTTAGGATCTGTCTCCTCCACCCAGCCAAAGAGGTTTCCTCATTCCAGATTTGCAAGAAGTCAGAATCTACAGGGATAAGAGCTCCAGAATATTGATCTTTGGTGGAGTGAGTGTGACAGCTGGGGAATTCCTGGAGATGTAGTAAAAAGAAGGAGGACCTTTCCCCTGGATTTCAAGAGGCAGGAAAGGAGCTCCATATGAGGTCCAGCACACCACAGAGGCTCCGGATCTGCCATAAATGGATATAAACGCATATGCACATACCGTTTGATGATCAGGAAGAGGCTAAGAAGGCACACATTTAGGTAGATAAGGGGTTGGAGAAGGGGTTCGAGCAACATTTGAAAACTAACCCCTGACTGATAGAGGAGAAAGTGGATGGGGGGAACATCAGCCCTCTCATTTCAGGTGGGGAGCAAGGGGGATCCTATAAACTGACGAGGAGGACTGGGTGGAGCATGAGAGGCATGGAGCCTCCCCCCCAAGACCCTGGGCACACATTTAGGTAGATAAGGGGTTGGAGAAGGGGTTCGAGCAACATTTGAAAACTAACCCCTGACTGATAGAGGAGAAAGTGGATGGGGGGAACATCAGCCCTCTCATTTCAGGTGGGGAGCAAGGGGGATCCTATAAACTGACGAGGAGGACTGGGTGGAGCATGAGAGGCATGGAGCCTCCCCCCCAAGACCCTGGAAGAGGAGGCCGGTGCAGCCAGAAAGAGGGGAACGGGTTGGTTTTTCACGAGAGGCATGGCGAGGGGGGGAGATCTCCCACATGCCGGGCTTTGAGACAGAAGACAAGGAGGGACCTGCCAGGATAGAGAAAACTGTCCTCCGTGCCATTTGGTTTTATGCTGTTAACTGTTAAATTGCTTGATCTGTTATCGTTTTATCTCTGTTCCCTGTCTGTTTATTTAATGGTGAACTGCCCAGAAGAGTGCATTCCGCTAATGGGGTGAAATTCATTTTTT